CCTGCAGAAGGATCCACAGCTTTAACACGAGCTGAACATGAGCTGAACATAAACTGAACATGAGCTGAACATAAGCTGAACATGAGCTGAACATGAGCTGAACATGAGCTGAACATGAGCTGAACATGTGCTGAATATGTGCTGAATATGAGCTGAACATGAGCTGAACATGAGCTGAACATGAGCTGAACATGAGCTGAACATAAGCTGAACATGAGCTGAACATGTGCTGAATATGAGCTGAACATGAGCTGAACATGTGCTGAACATGAGCTGAACATGAGCTGAACATGAGCTGAACATGTGCTGAACATGAGCCAAACATGAGCTGAACATGAGCCGAACATGAGCCGAACATGAGCTGAACATGAGCCGAACATGAGCTGAATATGAGCTGAACATGAGCTAATTATAAGCTGAATGTGAACTGTGTATGAATATTCAAGTGATGGGGACAGGTGAGGGAGGACAGGTGAGGGAGGACAGGTGAGGGAGGGTCTTACCTCTTCTCGTATTCTCTTCACAGTTTCTCCTTTCTGTGTAAAAAGCAGAGCTCAGAGTTAGTAACATGCTAACTGGCTGCTGAACAGAACCTGAGTTCTGCTGCAGAGTCTCACAGATCAGAACCAACAGAACCAAAACTCACCTTTCCAATGATGCTCCCAACTTCCTGTGAAGGGAAAACAAACAGCCAATCAGAAATGTTCATTTCCTGTTTCTGCTTCCACAGAAGAAAAGATTAACTCTTCACAGATAAATATTACATTTGTATTTGAAACGTGAACATTTGAACTAAAGCTCTTAAAGCGTGCACGCTCCTCACCTTTCCGTGCATGAGGAGGCGCAGCGTCAGCGTGACCCCCATGGCCCCGTCTCCAAACTCCTGCTCACAACTCATGGTGGAGGTGGTGGTGTGGTGGGTGGAGGTATGACAGGACTCTGACGCTAACAGACGCATGAAGGTCCAAGGCCGCCAGGCTTATGGAGCTGTCCAGAACCTTTCTGGAAGAACCTTTGAGGAGTGGTCCTGGAGCCGTCAGGACCTGGGGTGGGGGTGGGGGGGTGGTCTGGACCTGGACTGGAGGGTCTGACGGCAGGAGTGGGACTTCTCTCTGGTTCTGTTTGTCCTTCCTGTACAAAAAGAAAATGAATGACATAGAAATGTTTCCTGATCCAACTATATGGCGTTACATTTGTGCCACCAGCTCGAGCGTGCAGTAACACTGATCTGAGAGCAGATATCAATCTGAACAAACAATAATCTGAACAAACAATAATCTGAACAAACAATAATCTGAACAAACAATAATCTGAACAAACAATAATCTGAACAAACAATAATCTGAACCGTGTGCATTCAGATCACACACAGGCTTGCTGAGGGAGGAAGCCGTGTGAACATGCATGTTATATGAATGCACACGGTTCAAATAATTGTTTGTTCATGTTAGCTGTGTTTCCATTCACCATGAAAATGAGCAAATTACAATTTCGAAAATAAATTTGCTCAATGGAAACACGTCAATTT